CCTCACAAACTAACCACTGGACCAAGAAATTCATTCTAATTAAACAAATGAGAAGTTTTCATAAAGTTAGACTTTATTTAACTGGCTAAAACCAAACACTTTTAACTGTAGACAATATGCTCTTAGATGAATTTATAAAAAACTGACTCTATAAAATGTGATGTAACTAATGATAGGGAAACAGGAAATGATTACTAATTAAATGGGTTCAAATTAAGCATGTAGTTATTATAGCTTTATTGGATGACTTAAAAAATGCTTTGATGACAATACTGGAGTTAAGCTTACTTACAACGCATTTTTAACAGTTCGCCTCATTGAGATGTCTCAATTTTTCATATGGTACTGTGCCATGTGCAATAAATGTTACATGTTGAAGGTGTCTATCTCCTAACAACTTTTTGTGAGGCTCAGGTTAAACAACACAGTAATAACAGTTGTAGCTATGTATGAGGAAACAGAGAGTTAAATGACTTGTCAAAGGTAAATTAGCAAGTAGTTGAGTTGATATTCACCCCCAGGCAGCCTGGCTCCAGGTTTCAGGCTTTTAATCTCTCTATATAACTGTGAATTATAATAATCAATAAAGTCAGAGACCCATGTTAAATAAAAATAGGAATAGTTATGCCAGTTATAAATATTATGACCAAGTAATTAAATGCCTCTCCTGATTCACAACTCCTACTTAATTAATTAACTTTGAAACGGTGTGGTTGCTGATGCTATTTGAAAAGCTTCTGAAGGTATTTTTCCTACGTTTAGTCACAAACATTAAAAAAAAAATCATAATCTCTTAATGCAACTCAAAACTTGATTCTTAAGGGCTATTAATCTGCTAGCTCTACAGGTTCTTATGCCTTAAATATCAATTCAGGGGAAAGAATATTACAGCAACTTTCTTCTCCAAAGAGATGAATATTTTTGTTTACTGCTAAGTGTCTGATTATACAAAGCTTTTACAAGATATAAGAAGGCAGGATTACAACCCAAGTCGGATACGCACAGAGCTACATTCTAATTGGTCCCCCAATAAGATCCAAGAAGATGTTCATCTTCATCCCAAAGAAAAAAGCTTTTAGGCAAACATGTAAAGGACTCCATTCTCGGGGAAAGAAGCAGTATAAGAGGAAGCAATTTAAAGTACTAGATGAAACTAAAGATGCCTAAACATGTGCACTAGCATAACTTCCTTCATGTTAGGATCTCTTATAAGTAACACTTCAATATACAGTGTTGGTCCTCATCCCTCAAAGAACAAAGACACATAAACATTTAAAGAAGAGACTGCAAGCAATAAGCATAAGCTATTCTTTATAAAAGGTAATGTTCACTCAAATCTATGGAATTTACAAAGTACCTTGATGTGTAACATTTCATTGAATACTACAGTCCTGTTAGGTAGTGAGGGCAATTTGCTACCCCCATTTTACATACGAAGTATGAAGGGACGTACCTAAATTCACACAACTTATTGCTGGTGGAGCCTCCAACTCATACCACGTAACACCAAATCCCAGGCTCTTTCCACACCACATTATACCTCCTCATTCTACATCAACAGGTCACAAAAGTATCTTGTTTGTCCAACTGGCACAGATCCATTACCAGCACTGTAAAAATAAATGTCAGCTGATGACAACACGAATTGCTGTGATTAGTACAAGGGGAAAGAAAATAAACTGCATTTTCTGAGAGACCTGGCACTTGGCTCAGCACCCAAACTAAATTTTGCCTAATGTAGTTCTCACAACAGCCCTTCAGGTAAATGCTGGTGTTCCCAGCGTGTACATCAAGAAATTAGCAACTTGACTACGGTCACACATTAAATGACACAGCAGTGATTTTAACCATGTTGCCCTCTGACTTTAACAACTACCTAACAGGTTATACCTCACTGCCTTACATTTCACAGTAATGCCCTTTTCTAATCAGACAATCGAGAAAAATATTTTAGGTTAAAATATCCTAATGCTTTAAAATGTCAAAAAAAAATCCTCCCACTTGTTGCTGTCACAATCTCACTTTCCAATAGAGCACCTTTTCTCCTCCTGATTTTCCTGATCTTTTAATATTTGCTGGCCTCACTGTGCCTTGGAAGAGGGGCTGTTTAGAACAAAAAAGCAATTATGTATCCTTAACAAATAGCATCTTATAAGGCCACAGGAATCATGCAAATATTACTTTTGCCCTATGTCTCAGTTAATTCTATGAAATAGTATGTGTTAGTTTTAAGAAATGTCAACCTGCCCAAATGATTGGGAAATAAAAACGGTTAACAAACTATGAACAAGGCATCCTTTTAATCACCACTTTCTGAGGGATTTAACCAATCCAGACAAGGTGCAGGAATGACAAAATGTATAAAAGTAATCTCGTTACCATCCCAGATTCTGTCTCCTGCCACATTATTGTGAAACTCTAGGGGCAGACAGCATGTCTGTGTGCCTCTTCCCTCAGGTGTTTACTGTTGAAGAAGGTGATGATAGGTAAGAGAAAATGTAAACAGGACACTTTAATCGTTTTAAATTTTGGAAGACGATGAAGGACAACAAAATGTAATTCACTTTAACAAGCTAAGGTGTATTTATGTCTCCCAGAGAAGGATTCCTTATCTGAAGCAAACAGGAGGAACTTTCTGTTTAAGTTGTACTTATATAATGGAAGCTAAAGAGCTAAAAAGGCCTTTAAGCAAAACTCTATGTTCAGCGAACAAATAAGAAAAGCTAAGTCTATCAGAGTTAAATTGGAAGGACGGGTGGAAAAGCCTGCTGGGAAGACTAGGAACACGGCAGTAGTAAATAAAAAGGAACAGGAAGCACTGAGCTAGAGGAAGTGTGAGGGGAAGGAAGAGGAGAAATGGGCAAAGAAGGCTGGAACCTAGAAGTACTGATGGATTGGCTACTCAAGCCTAGAAAAGCAAGGAAATGAACGCCTACAATCAGGTTTGCCAGAGCCTGCCCTCCTCTTCTACAGACTGAAATTTAAGATAAATGAACTGGCCAGGATTAGCAAAAATGGGCTTCATTTAAGACACAGGGCTAAGGCCCTGCACAAGGATAACTGGTGGAGAATGAAGGCAACTTTCTAGTGCTTTTTAAAAAGTGTAAACTAAATGGGTGAATAGAATAGCATGTGAATTATACCTTAATTTTTTTAAGTGTTGTATTAAACTGGGCATTGTATAACTATATTATGATTTAATTAACATGATTAGTTCAGTCTATAAAGGAGTGTTCTCCCAAATTCCCTCACACAGTCGGTTGAGTCTACTTGTGTCTGGGAACATCTCTGTTGGAATACATCACTCTGGGAAGGAGACTGAAGTATTATGCATACAGAAGAAAAACTGGAACTTTTTTAAAGAGACCTTCCCCCATTCTTGCCCCTGGGATTTCTGGCAGTGTGGGGGGAGAAAGCTTTTGTCTGGGTTATGCCCTGAGGTAGAATATCAGGTTACTTCTGGGGCTGATAGAGGACCAAAATCTACCTAGTCAGAGGGAAAACGATTTGGGGTGGAAAAGTCAAGTCAGTTCTGTAGAAACTGCAGGTGGTTTATCGTGAAATGATCACACAAGTCTTATCTCTGCTACCCCCAAATTGGACTGCACGCCCCGTGTCACTTCCAACTGTTACTCGCGAAGCAAAGAAGACGGATGCTTTGCCATGATCCCAGACGTTTCTGGCGAGCTGCCCACTGACGTAAATTAGAAAACCATTCGCGGACCGGCCTGGGGGAAGCGCCACGTCCAGCGCTGGGCTCCCCCTTCCTCCCTCTCCATGTAGGAAAACGGACCAAGTCGAGCAGTAGGAGAGCAGGAACGACAGATCACCCCTCTTCACCCTCCTCCCCTTAGCCGGATTTAGGGGAGCCGCCCGCAGCGTACCCCAAGCCCACTCGTCGGCCTCGGGCCCGCGACCCCCAGGGTAGGGCGGCAGCGAGCGCCCCCACCGGCAGCAGCCGCACCTCCCCCGGGGCAGCTGTCGCCGCAGCCCGCCCGGCCTCGGCCTCCCTGGGAGCAATAGGCTATCGATTCAGCTGCCTGTCGCTAGGAGCCCCGGGAGAGCAAGGCCTACACCGCTCGGCCGGAGCCCCGGCCTGGATTTCACCACTTTCCCCACACCGCAGGGGGAGCCCGGGGGCAACCAAGCCCAGGTGGACGGGCGGGAGGAGCTGAGACCACCTGCAACTGCAACGGCGGGGAACCGGGCTACCCGCCCCGGCTTCTGCCAACAAGTCTCCCGGGGTCGCCCACCCACCACCCTCTGCCTCGCAAGTTGCGCACTCAAGTTCAGGCCAGTGTTCCTTAGCCTCCTGAGCCCTCCGCACTCTCGAAACCATAATAAAAGCAAGACGCGGAAGCGGCCACCCCAGTACTAAAGGGGATGCAGCTGGGCCCCTTAGGGCGCCGGGGGCAGGGGGAGGCCAGTAGCCACCCGCCCGCCTGTTACCTCCCCTCCGCTCACCCAGCCGCCCCCAAGTCGCAGAACCTGACCCCTCCGGCGGCCAGCCCTGTCACCGCCCTGCCCCCGGCCCCACGGCCCTCTTCCGGACGCCGACGACAGGGGCTCGAGTCCTCCTTTGCCTCCGGATCCACTGGGCCTCCATCCCCTCCAAATCCCAAAAATGCCCCCTGCACCTTTTAAAGTACACGGAGGAAGAGTTTCCCATCAAACTTTGTCGAGCGGTAATCTCGGCCCCCTCCCCGACCCACACTTTCTGGGCAGTCATCAGGAGAGATCACTTTACACTTGGGATAAAGCGAATTAAGGACCTGTCAACCATTTTAGGTCTTTTTTATAGAAGACATCCTCTCCTTCCCCTCCCTCCCTCCCTTCCTTCCCCTGCAAAGGTTTTAATTTGACACCAAACCTTCCCACCGCTGAAGGGAGGTTGGGGGTGGGGTGGGGACGGAGAGCAGGAGGAGGGTGACGAGGGAGAGCGAAAAGGGGAGGCTGGAAGGGGGCTGGGAAGCGCGGGGAGGGGAAGGGGGTTGATTTACCTGAGACCAGCCACTGGCCTCCATTGTTGGAGAATTCAATGGCATTGACACAACCGAAGTGGCCGAGAAGGTCCTTCTTGTAGAGGTTTCTGCAGCCCCGCAGGCGTCTCCTCTGAAAGTCCTGAGTGAGCAGGGGGTCCCCATGCAAGCCCCGCTGGGACAAGAAGCCCACCACTGACCTCATGCTGCCCCCCAGGCCAGCTCTCCTCTTCATGCTGGAACCGCCGCCACCGCCGCTCGCGCCGCCGCCCCTCCCTCGGCCTCACGCGCCGCCGCCGCTCTGCCCCCACCCAGCCCTCCCCCCGCGCTGCGATCCGGATGGTGCTTTAACCAGCCATGGCAGACGGAGCGAGGTGTGCAGACACTCGGCGGCGTTCGCGGCTTCCTGACGGTGCCCTCCCTCCGCTTCCCCCCTGCGCTCCTCCCCCTCCTCCACCTCCTCCAGCAGCTGATCCTCAGCTGCGGCCGCGCTTCCGCGCTGCGCGGCCCTTCCGCCGGCCGCGGCTGCCCTTCCCCCGCCGCGGGGTGCTGGCCGGGAGTACGCGGGCCTCTGGCCGGGAGACGGTGGGCGGCGGCCCAGCTTTCCCGCCGCAGTGCCTCCCCGCGTGAGGACCCTGGTGGCGCTGGGCGGAGGCCCGTCTGCACCCGCAGAGCGCCGCACTCCGTGAAGTTGAAGACGTGTAACAATCAAAGTGGCCGCGAGGCTGCCGGTTCACCCTACTCCCCCGGAGGCGGGTGGTCATCGCCGCCTGGAGGCCCAGCGCCGGGACGAGTTCGGCTCCCCGCTGTTTTTTTTGTTTTTTTTTTTTAGTCGGAAAATGCTGCCCGAGGTGGCCGAGAGGTGGAGGGAGGACTGCGGGCAGAGGCTTCTGTCGTCCTCCCTCAGTTCGCCTCATCCTGGAGCCGCCGAGCCCTGTGCAAGGGAAGGGAACCCGGAGTTAGGACTGGACGCGTGGGGTAAGGTTCCTGGGGATTTTGTTAGTGCGCCCGTCCCCTCCCTACCAAATAAAATTATAACAATACCCGCCCCCCTCCAAATTCTGCTAATTCTTCCTTCCTCCAGCCATTCAGTAAAAAAAAAAGCTTAATTATAGATAATAGAGTGATACGTCTGTGGGGAAAGGGGGTTGGGGGAGGGGAGGGGTAAGGAATTACTAAGAAGTGAGAAGAAAATTGCCAAAACCCAGTTGAAAGTACATCAGTCCGTTGGTTCCAGGTACATTTGCAAGACACAAGAAGCATTATTCGAATAGCAATATGTGTTCTTTAACTGGGTGCGGGGAGTTCCTCTTCAGGGTCTTGAGTGTTGGGCACTGAGTACAGCTGTGAAGCAGCAGCTGCGTTCCTAGCCAGAAGTAGCTGCTCTTCAATAGGCTGGGAGCCTCCGCGTTGACCCCAGCGAACAGACTGGGTGTTAAGTGCTTTGGAATTCTACCAGATACAGTAAAAAGTCCCCTTGTCAGTGTATTGTACTTCCTCCAGAGGCTATCCTCTGTCATTAAGCAGTAATAAGCCACTAGAATAGGCAGGTGTCAGTTTTTGCCGGAATTAGATCCTATCCTCTGCGTCAGAGATAGCAAGCACATGGGCAGTCTGGTATACAGTGAGTGTGCCATGAAAGAGCCACTGTACATGGAAGAGGACACCCACCAGGCAGAATCGCTTCTACGTCATACACAATGACAATGATGAGATCAAGCGTACTAATAACAAGTGTTTAAAAGTCAACATTATAACAAATATTGCTGAACTTAACAGAAATTCACAAAATTTCAGAAATTATGGTTCCAGTTTGCTATTTTCTTAAGTAGGAAAATGTGTAGTGCTTTCTTTGAAAAAGTTTTATTCTCAGGATAATATGTATTTATTACAATAGGCCCATAAGGATCAGTAGTACTATTCTAGTTTGATTAGCCATTCTCAGCACCCAACATCTTTTCTTCATAGCAATATCAAAGTGTGTAATTAAACATGTATATTTGTGATTACATCAGCATGTCCCCCAATCTGCTGTTAGCTCCCTGAAAGCAGGAACCATGTCTGTTCTGCTCATGGACATATGTCCAGAGCCAACACATGCTGGAACCCAGTAGCCACTCAAATATTTGTTGAACACATGGATGAACTTAGGAAGTGGGGAAGAATCTGAAGGGAAAGGTAATGACTTCGGTTTTGGATGTGTTGAGTTTAAGGTTATCTCGATGAGTTCCGAGTATCTGTGCTTCAGTCCAGTGGAGACGATTTCTAGGACAGTTTGCCATCTCACTGTTTCTTGCTTGACATACTCTATTCACACACTCAGAAACAGGGAGCCCTTTGGTTCCTTCTACCTCATAGAACATAATTTATGTCTTCCTTATTTGCCTGGGGTAGGGGAGATGGGTACAGTAATGATGTGGTTGAAGTGGCCTTCACTGTGGCAATATATGACATACCCTTCCCTTCACTCTTAAGCACATACCTCTTCTCCACAACTTGAAATGTGACGCAGTCTTCCCCAATCACTGGAATAACTGTCCCATTTACTTCAGCCTAAAAATAGACCAAGGATCTGGTCACAAGCCAGCCCAATTCTAGGACTTTGCTGGAAACTTCCTTAACTGTTCAATGACCAGCCAAGAGAGAAATGTAAGACCTCAGTCTGTTTATATCCTACTGCTAGTCTGGGCAGGTTTTTGTAAGAAGAGTGCCCAGAATCTCTCCTTATTCCCATAATTAGGATTGCCAGATAAAATGTAGGACACCTAGTTCAAAATAAATTTCAGACAATGAATAATTTTTTAGCGTAAGTATATCCCAAGCATTCAGGATATATGTACACTGAAATAATTATTGTTTATCTAAAATTCAAATTAAATTGGGCATCCTATGTTTTATTTGCTAAATCTGGCAGCCCTGCCTGTAATATAACCCAACTTCAGAAGATCAAGCCTTAGGATATCTATGATTGATTTTATTAAGAATTTAACACAGTCTCTTGTGTCATTTATTGCAAATTAATGATATTGTACATAACTATATAACACAAACATTTAATCAATTTCAGTGATCATAAGAGTTTGGCCTTTGTGATGTAGGCATTTATAGTGAAAGGGCTAGTGTACTTAGCTTAAAAATAGTAAATAAATTGGACTCCTGAGTATTCTCTCCATTGCATAGAATGTGTGGAGGAAGATGGAGAAGAGTGAAAAATTCATATTTTTCTATATGTAGGCCCACAAACTCTTGTATATTAACATACATACTCAGGAACCTTGAAACAGTATTTTGAAAATTTACTTTGGAAAAGCCAAGTTATGGAAATTATTTAACATGGGAACCCTTACTTAATTACTCCACCATGGGCTGCATGTTGATCAGAGTGCCCAGAAATTTGTTTACTCTCACTCTATTTTGTTTGCCCCAGGATCACTGAAGAAAAGAGTAAAGAATCTTTAAAAGTTGATTAGATGCCAAGGAAATGCTCAGACATTAAAAATTGTTTAAAAAAAATAAACTAAGAAAATACTAAGCCCCTTGTCACACATTTACTCAATTTTAGCATATTAAGAGCTATATATGGATACTAATGTACTCAGAAATTTTTCACTTAAAAATATTTTCAACTTTAAACTCATTAATATCTCTACTCATAGAGAAGAGATACTAATTCAAAGATCAATGCCGTAAGTAGACATAATTTAACTATGTCATTTAACTTTTTTTTTCTATTTTATTTTATTTTATTTATTTATTATTTTTTTTGAGAGGGCATCTCTCATATTTATTGATCAAATGGTTGTTAACAACAATAAAATTCTGTATAGGGGACTCAATGCACAATCATTAATCAACCCCAAGCCCAACTATGAACAGTCTCCAATCTTCTGAAGCATAACGAACAAGTTCTTACATGGTGAACAAATTCTTACATAGTGAATAAGTTCTTACATGGTGAACAGTGCAAGGGCAGTCATCACAGAAACTTTCAGTTTTGATCACGCATTATGAACTATAAACAATCAGGTCAAATATGAATATTCGTTTGATTTTTATACTTGATTTATATGTGAATCCCACATTTCTCCCTTATTATTATTATTATTGTTATTATTTTTAATAAAATGCTGAAGTGGTAGGTAGATGCAAGATAAAGGTAGAAAACATAGTTTAGTGCTGTAAGAGGGCAAATGTAGATGATCAGGTGTGTGCCTATAGACTAAGTATTAATCCAAGCTAGACAAGGGCAACAAAACATCCACAGATGCAGAAGATTTCTCTCGAAACAGGGGGGGTGAGGTTCTGAGCCTCACCTCTGTTGATCCCCGTCATTTAACTTTTCAAGAATAAAATAATTCTTATTGTTCATTCCAGACATATAGCAGTCAGTTTTAATTTGGGGGGAATCTATGTAAATATAAATTCCTCTAACAAGATGTATAGCACATATGTGCTTTCATTTTTTATAATAATTTTATTACATGTAACTGACACACCATAAAATTCACCATCTTAAAGTTCACAGTTCAGTAGCTTTTAGTATATTGAAAGTGATGCAACTATCACCATTATCTAATTTCAGAATATTTTCATCATCCCAAAGAGAAAACCCATTCACATTAGTAGTCACTCCCCATTCCTCCTTCCCTGTAGCCCCTGGCAACCACTGTCTCTTTGGATTTACCTATTCTGGGTATTTCATATGAGTGGAATCATACAATATGTGGTCTTATGTCTGGCTTCTTTCATTTAGCATAATGTTTTCTGGGTTCATCCTTGTAGCATGAATCAATATTCCATTCTTTTTTTAGACTAAATTATATTTTATGTTTTATGGATATACCACATTTTGTTTATCCATCAGTTGATGGACATTTGGGCTATTTTCACTTTTTGGCTTTTATGAGTAATGCTGCTATTAACATTTGTTTTTATTGTACAAGTTTTTGTGTGGACATGTTTTGATTTCTTTTGGGTATATATACCTCTCAGTAGAATCACTGGATCATATAATTCTTATGTTTAACTTTATGAGGAACTTCCAAACTACTTTCATTTTTTTTAAATTAAGGTATCATTGATATACAATTTTATGAAGATTTCACATGAACAACATTGTGTTTTCAACATCACCCGTATTATCAAGTCCCCCACTACCCCCTTGCAGTCACTTGTCCATCAGTGTAGTAAGATGCTATAGAGTCGTTACTTGACTTCTCCATGCTACTGCCTTCGCCTTGACCTACCTATATTGTGAGTGCTAATTATAATGCCCCTTCATCCCCTTCTCCCTCCCTCCTCACCCATCT